CTCGTCCCTGCCTCCCTAACCTGTTCTTCCTCCCACCTATCCCCTCCTCCCACCTCAAGCCGCACCTCCATCTCCTACCGACCAACCTCATCCCGCCCCCTTGACCTGTCCGTCCTCCCTGGACTGACCTATCCCCTTCCTAACTCCCTACCTACACTCACCTTTACTGGCTCCATCCCCGCCTCTTCGACCTGTTTGTTTCCTCTCCACCTATCCTCTCCTCTATCCCTCTTCTATCCGCCTCCCACTCTCTCCCTATTTATTTCAAAACCCCCTTTTCTGATGAAGGGTCTAGGCCCGAAACGTCAGCCTCTCTGCTCCTATGATGCTGCTTGGCCTGCTGTGTTCATCCAGCCCTGCACCTTGTTGTCTCGGATTCTCCAGCATCTGCAGTTCCTACTATCTCCTTTCTGCTTAGGCAGCTTACAGCCTTCAGGACTCTGACACAAGAAACAAAATTGCTGGAAAAACTCACCAGGTCTGGCAGCATCTGTGAAGAAAAAAAATCAGAGTTAACGTTTTGGGTCCGGTGACCTTTTCTCAGAACCAGACCTGAAACATTAACTCTGATTTTTTTCTTCACAAATGCTGCCAGACCTGCTGAGCTTTTCCAGCAACGTTGATTTTGTTCCTGATTTACAGCATCCGCAGTTCTTTCAGTTTTCTTCAGGACTCAGTTTGCCAACTTCACACCATGGATCTTGTTCTTCATTTTGATTATCCCCAACTCAATATATCATGTTTTCAAGGGTCTGCTCTCAACAGAACTGACATATTTTCTGCTATCAATACCTATTATTCACCTAAACATATTTTCTCTACTACTGTAATCGGTCTCTTTACCTTTTGCTCTGGTGCACCAATATCATCTACACCACCTCCTACCCCTTTTTGCAGCACAAAACTCATTCTTTTTCCATCTCCTTCAGTTCTGAAGGGTCATACTGGAATCAAGAAATTAACTTTGTTTCTTTCCACAGATGTTATCTGACCTGATGAGTTTCTCCACCACTTTGTTTTCATTACAGTTCTTATTCAGAGCCAGCATACAAACTTAAAGTCTGCTCTATTTGTGATGGTGCTAAAGACAAAATACCCACTTCATCATTTTAATTCACTGCAACGCTGTTTCTTAACTGACCATTATTGATGCCTGTGCTCTATCCTTGCCTAAAACAAGTTATTAACCATATAAATGGAGTTTGTGACCTCAATAGCCATATTCGCATGGCACGTGTATTGGCATATTAAGCTTCATTGTGTCTTTGTTGATAAAGTGGGCAAGGTGAATAGTAAAATCACGATTGTTTTCAAAATAGTGTAAATGCTTAACTTCCTTAGTTATTAAATTATAGATGTTAATTAAGTACAAGAAATATTTTTACCTGTATAATGACAGCTGACTAATAATTCAATGCATGTTTAAAAATTAACACAGGATCCAGCTGGACCCATACAAATAAAAATTTTATCTGTGATTAGTGGAACACAACCTAGACCTCACTTGTAAGGCAAAACCTAAAACTTTAAATTTCATTTCTATACAGTAAATGTCTGAAAACACTATGATACATACGAGGAACAATCCTCAACACTTGACCCTTGAATCGCCTCCATGTATTGGGAATGCCTTTGGAGAAATAATTTGGAAATGCCTTCTGTTCAAAGGGAGAGATGGTATAGGTGATAATGTGCCGCAATTTGATTAAGTTTCCAAAGTGGCGACCCATTTTGTGGCTACTTATTCAAAAGTTCTACAGAAAACAGAAATGCAAAAAACATCATGGATCATTCAGGCACATAAACAACAGCAACGAATTGAACAGCAATCATTATTGAATTCAACAAATACTGTGTTACCTTCACAAATCACAGCACATTTTAAAATCTCTGGATAAATCACAAAGGGTTCCACCCACAGAAAATATTAGTATACCGATTCCTTCAAAATACAGGTAATTTAAGAAAATTTCTCGAGTGAGCTTTCCGTGGGGATCTGAAAATATGGAGGAAATAAAATGCAGCTTTTAAAAATAAAATTATAGAGGTTGCGGTGGCAAGTTTCCTTTATGCATTGCTGCAGTCCTTGGAGTACAGGTGATATTAGGAAGAGAGTTCCAGCATTTTTACCTAGTAACAATGAACCAACAGTGATACAAGTCACGATGGTATGTGACTTGTATGGAACCTGCAAGCAATGTCCCCTGCAAGCCGTGCATGTACAACTGCTCCAGTGTTCAGCACAGGCAATGTTGACTTCCACTTTCAGAAGTTGCTGCCACACATAGCCGGTAAGAAAGTTAGAGTGAACACTGCTTGCAGGTAGTGGTGCCCCCATGAATCTCCTACTTATGCCCATCTGAGACAATACGCTTTTAAAGATCCTTTTGAAACTGAAGGCAGGATGAAATAAACGGCATAATAATTGAAGGAACACTGCCTACAATGAGCACAGTGAGAGTATGACGTAGCTGGCCAGTCATAATAGTGAAAATTCTGGACTGCTACATAAAACAGAATTAGATCATTTGGATAAAAGTCAGTCAAGACCAAATTCGATGCTTGGGCCACTGTAGTTTTTGCACTAAAAGAGAGTCAGTAGAACTATGGACAATTTAGCCAGAGTTCATTCAGTTAAACTTCTCAGTCACGATATGCAGCCATCACTTGCAAGGCAAGAAATTATTGCCCATTGCTAACTGCCAATTACAAAGTGATACATGCCACCTTCTTGGTCAAAATACTTCCGAGGCACAATCTAGAATTCCGGATATTGACCCTATAATGAAAAAGGAATGCGAATGCCTTTCGAACTGACAGTGGGAATGCAACTTGAAAGGTAACTTACTGGTAGTGCCTATTGCCTTTTGCCCTTGTCTTCATGGGCAGTAAAGGTCGTGGATTTGGGAAGCTTTGGCAAGTTGCTCCAACACATTTTGTAGATGCTCCTACAGTATGTGTTTAACTGGGACATTTGCAGCCAATCAATGAGGTTGCTTTATCCTAGAGGGTGGTGAGCTCCTTGAGAGGTGGTGTCCACCAACGAGAACAGAATGGTCACTAAACATTTTCCTCTGGATATCTGTTTAATTGTCCACCAGCATTCACAACTGAAGGTGGCATGATTACAGAATTCTAACCTGATCTGTTGGTTGTGGGACTGCACAGCATGTTGTTTTTTTTCTGTTTAGTAGCTTATCACAATGGCTTCACAAGGTTGGGACTATGCATAATTCTGCACCTAACATATTCTTCTACACTCTTCAATGAACTAGAGTTTGCACCTGGCTTGATTATAATCATTAATCTGAGAAATATGAAGGTTATGAGATTACAGATTGTGATGAAATATAATTCTACACAGGTCCATAGCACCTCACGTATGCCCTGTTTTGTGCTTATCGATTCAGTGTGAATCTACATAACACTAGGGTAGTTTCAGACAGCATGATGTTAATCTATCCCTGCCTCAAATTCATAAACATTACTACCCATGCCCAACAAAAATTGATCAATCTCAGTTATTAAAGTTTCATTGGACCTAGACTCAACAACTTCCCACAAGGAGGCTATTGCAGTTTCTGCTCCCTGATCTGTCACGTTCCTTCTGACATCGCCTCTAAACTGCTGCCTTGTCCTCAACCCTTTCAGGGTTAGTAATTCCAAATCACCCCTCCAAGGTGACGCTGAAGTCAAACAAGCATAATTGAAGACATGAAACGAAACTTAGGATCACAAACTGCAACCTTGAACTATATGGAATCACATTGTAAGATGGACCCTGAAGCCCAGCGGTCCCCTGGGCAGCAACATGGGATTGCTGATGAACAATTCACTTGCTGTTGGTTTGCAATCTCGGCGGTGTCCAGCACTGGGATCTACCACAAGAAACTGAAGCCTGGATACAGGCCTCCTCAAGACAGAGTGAGACCCTTCAACTGGGAACCCTCAAGTCACCCCATACCACATTGAACTCTCACTCCTAACATTCGCTAGCTCTGCGGTTAATCACTGCTACATTCCATCCCCTCCCCGTGCTCTGCTCCGCTTCACCTTACCCTGCTCGTTCTAATTCCTCACCTTCTCCTCTCCGACCTTGGCTCCGACGGTAATGGCGACTGCGACGTCTCTCTTCCCCCGAAAGCCCCGTCTCTTTACGTCCCTACGTCAGACGTACCCCTGTGCGCCCGTATCACGTGTCATCCCGCCCACGTGCCACTGAGATGTTGCAAGTGTCACTGCGCGCCTGAATAGTGCTGGAATAATACATACTGCATAGTCTCTTGTAATGTGATTAAATGCCCACATCCAGCACCGTAGGGGATTGTGGCTTTCTCTCCTCTTCCAACTCAATTTGGATTTAGCCTCTTCTCCCTCACCTTTGATGGTTTGCGTTGCCCTAACCGGCTTTGCTATTTTCCTAATCAACCTCTTCGGAGATGTATTGACACTTTTGCGAAGCAGGTGGGATTTGAACTCCGGCCTCCTAGCTCGGAGGTAGGGAAGCTATCATTGTACCGCAAAAGCACTCTTGATAGGCTTTGCACATAAATGATTCAATTGGAAACACATGATTTACTGTTGGTAGTTAATAAATGCAAAAATAACAAGGTGATTTGGTGATTGGGGAAAAATGTCCAGTTGTGTGTAAGAACACTTCAAGATACAGAAAGAAAGATTAAAATGCATACACTCGAGGGTGAGTTCAAAACACACTCAGCGGCAGACAAAGCAAGATCAAGAACTGTTTTCAGGATTTGGCTTCTTCGTAAATACTACGATGCAGGGTATTTGAAGATTACCAGGCTCTAATTGATCTGTTACATTATTGAAAGACTGTTCCCTGAGCTCCACCTGCTATGCAAGTTGATCAACTCCATGTGCTTCTCTATGTGTTTCTGACACACACATGACTAAACTTCAGGCTCTACCTAGCTGTCTCTCTGTTCCTCCATTTTTCTTGACTCCATCTGCATGGTGCTATTTATTCCACTATAAGGAGCAAGCTCCCTGCTATCATTGAAAGGTTGCCTCAGGGTCTTAAACCCTTTACACAACAGTTAGAGCAGTTTTATTTTATGTGAATGTACTGCATGAGAAGTTGCAGCCCAGTTTTAATTGAGGCGGCTTTCTAGTATAGAGTTTCTACTCTCTAGCTGCATGACTAAGTGGTTCTAGTAACTGGAATTAATATTCTTACAGGACATTGAAAAAGGAAAGCTTGTATTGAGTGTTCTTCCATGAATATGCCACAGACTCCTTGTTACTTTCTCAAATGCCGAACAGTGCTGCACTTAAATTGTCATTTTCACTACTTCAACACGTGGTTGAAATAAGTCAAAAATTTAGAATGATCATCCTGGTTTTATCATTCTTCCATGTGCTTCCTCTAACCTCCTCTGTTGTCTTCTGCAGATCTACCTCTCTCAATGCCACTTGTGCTATTCCAGTTCTAGCCTCTTGCTTGATTACTGTAGGTATGATCACCATTGGCTTCTGTGCTTTCAGTTGACCATGTACTAAGCTCTGGAATTCTTCCTCTCTTCTTCTAAGATGGTCCTCACAATCCACCTATTTTACCAAGTTTAAACACCTGTCCTAATAATGTCATGGTTAGAATGTGAAGTTTTGTACAACAATATTCTTTTGAAGAGGCTTGACATATTTTATTGTGTATAAACTCAAGATAATATTGCACTGGACCGCTGCTATACCCTCAACCCTTTGATGCAGGGTGGTAAGGCAGTTTGAGCGTGTGAGTAAACCTGTCTGAACTGATCCCCATTTGGACAGAATTTCACATTGACCTTAAAATCTTCCTTGGGTACTTGCACCCAAAAGTTGAACCATCTCAAGGAAGCTCCATCCATGTCCTTCCAGTCAGCATGAAGTGGTCGCCTGTATAAGCTGCTGCTACACATCTTTCTCTTCGTCACCTTTGTCCACTAGCCACACACCTCCTTGTTGTCAGGAGCCCAGAGAACACCAGCTCTGGTTATTGGCTTATACAGAAAGGAGAAGAGTCAATTCTTGTAACCTTACTTTATTAGTGTATTAAACAAGACACATGTTGCTTAAATGTTTTTATCACAAAACTAGACCTTATATATTTTCTCACAAACTGAACTAGGAATTTTTACACCCACAAGAGTCCTATGACACTTGCCAAGTCGTCACTGAATATAAAAGCTAATACCCAATCAGGGATAGCTGCTTCTGCTGATGAGGGCTGATGCTGCACTTGATGTCATTACCATGTCCTTGACGTAAGGCCTGCTTCTGCAAGTGTTGGTCTCCAGAGTTTTCATTGACTGCATGCCCTCAGGTTCTTCTTTCTCTTATCTCTTTCAAGTTGTACTATCTTTTTTTCTCCCCCCTTTATTCATTAACAGGATGAGGACATCACTGGCTAAGCAGCATTTAATGTCCATCCCTAATTGTCCAGAGTCAACCACATTGTTGTGGATCTGGAGTCACATGTAGGCCAGACCAGGTAAGGATGGCAGTTTCCTTCCCTAAAGGACATTAGTGAACCACATGGGTTTTTCCAACAATCCACAATGGATTCATGGTCATCATTAGATTCTTAATTCCAGATTTTTTTTTGAATTCAAATTCCACCATCTGCCATGGCAGGATTTGAACCCAGGTCCCCAGAATGTCATCTGGGTCCCTGGATTAACAGTCCAGCGATAATACCACGAGGCCATTGCTTCCCCCATTCTTCCTGTTGACTGAGGTTAATTCACTTATTGCATCCCTTTACCTTATTGGCCCTGGCCCACAGACTTAGGTAGCATTACCTCATTATTTCTTGCCCAAATAAAGCTTTTGTATTACCTCATCTTCCTTACTTTTTACAGAATTTAGTTAATTTGAACCAGTTTAAATCAGCTCAAACTAGCACCTGGGTGCAGATTGTTTTTAGTTCACAAGCTGCTTCTTACTTCAGTCAGCACCTTTGCATTCAGTACCTCCTGTTAGCGATGATGGGGGCTGGTACCCTTCTGTCTCTCTTTATCTTTCTGCAGCCTCTAGCTAATGTCTCCCCAGGCAGCGATGTTAGCAGCTTGTACCTTTTTATCTCTATCTCTCTCTCTCTGCAGCCTCTGGCTAATACCCTGATATCCCATAAAATGGAGTCTGGCTGTGGGGTAGGTCCCTTGTGGAGAGCTACCTATGAGAGAGTCTTCTTGCTTTCCACTAGTGACCAGGGCTCGAGTGTATAGTGGCAGTCACATGTAATGTGAGGTTCATGTAGCCTAGACTGCTTGATTTTTAATTTATTTAAATCTTTATTTCTTTTAAATCTTTAAACAGCCCTAACTTATATTTTTGTTCCTGTGCCTGGTTAGGGGCTGTTGACATTTTGTTTGGTATGATTATAAAATAGTTAAAAGGATAAAGGGGTCTTGTGACTCAGTGGTAACATTCCTATCTCTTGGGTGGAAGGAGACAGTAAGGACTGCAGATGCTGGAAGCCAAGGTCAATAGATGTGAAGCTGGAAAAGCACAGGTCAGACAGCAAACAAGGGGCAGGGAAGTTAATGTTTCAGGCTGAAACCCTTCGTCAGGTCTGGGAATGGGGAGGGGAGCCCAGGTGTAAATAGAGGGAGGGGTTGGGCTGTGGGAAGAGTACGAGAGATAGTGATAGATGGATGGGGGTTATTGTGATTGGTCAGTGGGAAGGGTGGAGCAGATAGGTGAGTAGGAAGTTGGACAGATTAGGTCAGGTCAGGGAGGTGAGGAGGACGGGACATGGGATAAGTCTGAGGGTGGAGGGTTTTGAAGCTGGTGAAGTCAATATTGAGGCCATTGGGCTATAAGTTCCCAAAGTGAAATATCAGGTGTTGTTCCTCCAGTTTACTTTTGGCCTCACTCTGATAGTAGAGGAGGCCAAGGATGGACACATCATCAGGGGAGTGGGAGGGAGAATTAAAATGGATGGCACCCGGAAGGTTGGGTTAGTTGGTGCATGCGGAGCGTAGATATTCTGCGAACTGGTCCGAGTCTGCATTTGGTCTCCCCAGTGTAGCGGAGACCACGTCGGGACCAACGAATGCAATAGATCAGGTTGGATGAAGTGCAGATGAATTTCTGCCAGATCTGGAACGATTGTTTGGGCAGAGGTGAGTGGGGAGGTGTAGGGGCAGGCGTTGCACCTCCAGCATTGCAGGCTAAGGTACCAGGTATGGTGAAGTTGGTGGGGAGCGTAGTGCATCTCCTCCATTTCCTGCACTTCTGCCCTGAAACCCTCTCGCCCAAACAACAATAAGTATAGAGTCCCTTAGTCCTCATGTACCACCCAACCTCTGAATCCAACGCATCATCCTCCAACGTTTCCACCACCTACAATCACACCCCACCATCAAAGAGATATTTCCCTCCCCACCCTGTCTGCTTTCCGCAGGAACCATTCATTCTGCGACTCCCTCGTCAGATCTACAATCCCCACCAACTTCTCCACCACACCCGGTACCTTTCTCTGCAACTGCAAGAGGTGCAAGACCTGCCCTCACACCTCTGTCCAAGGCCCCAAACAATCCTTTCAGATCCGGCAGAGTTTCACCTGCACCTCATCCAACCTGATCCATTGTATCCGTTCCTCCCACTGTGGTCTCCTCTACGTCAGGGAGACCAAACACTGATTTAGGGACCGGTTTGCGGAGCGTATAAGTTTTGTATGCACCTACCAACCCGACCTTCCGGTTGCCATCCGTTTTAATTCCCCCTCCCACTCCCCTGGCGACCTGTCTATCCTTGGCCTCCTCCACTGTCAGTGACACCAAATGTAAACTGGAGGAACACCACCTGATATTTTGCCTTGGGAGCTTACAGCCCAGTGGCCTCAATATTCACTTCACCAGCTTCAAAATCCCTCCACCTCCAGCCTCATCCCATGCCTAGCCTTCCTCCTCCACTTTCCTGACCTGACTTAATCTGTCCATCTACCTACTCACCTATCTGCTCCACCCTTCCCACAGACCAATTACAGTAACTCCTACCTGCATCCACCTACCCTTCCCCAAGCCTCATACCCCTCCCTATTTACTTCTGGGCTCCCCTTCCCCAGTCCTGACAAAGGGTTTTAGCCTAAAACATTGACTTTTCTGCTCCTCAGATGCTGTCTGATCTGCTGTGCTTTTCCAGCTTCACATCTAGTTACTCTGGTGTGGAAGGTCTGATGTGACAT